GAGGGACAGTGGACCGGCCCCCTGCTGAAAAAGTTTGCTGACCCCTGATTTAGACTATTGCTGCAAGATATTGCAAGCAAGACTACGGTCATTATTCTTTGGCATTAATGTCCTATTTCAGCTTAAAATGTACCACACTTTCGAAGGTTCATTTGCAAGGCAACATTGACCCCTGCAGTCAATCAAACTTGAAAGCTATTGCTCCATTTTTATTAAAAGCTTTCATAACTCGTGGATACACACAACAATGGTTCCACTGTGATTCTAGGAATAGGACAATTTTCAAGCTTTGTTTCAAAAGGCTGAAATAGATTTCCGGCTCAATGAGATGCTATGAACAGTATCCAAAGGACTGTGCACTACCTACCACGCATGCATGCATACAGGGATGGTTTTTCAGTTTTTACCACATTCCCCTTTTTGAAGGGCCAATTCCAGCAGGAAGCTGGACCCTCTGGAACAGCATTCCATGAGGGCTAAGCTGCTGCTCCCAGGAAGGAAATTACCATAGATCCCTCAGCCAGGTATGCAAGCTCACGTCTGTGTCACCCATTCCAAATCAATGAAGGGTTATGGGTTGGTGGTAGAGGACAGGCTTCATATGCAAAAGGTCCCAAACCAAAATCCCTCGCATGTCTAGTTGGATGGACAAAACAGGCTGATACAGTCAGACATTCCTACAACTGAATGCTAAACGCTTAGATTACTATCAGTATTTGCATTCCTATGCAACCTTGCAAACAGCCTCTTGTGTGCGTACATCTATCACATAAATATATTAAATCAGATTTGTTTGTTTTGCTGCCTTTCCATTCTTTCAGATGGTGTTCTGAGTAAAATGAAAATCTGAATATCCCCAAAATACAAAAAGGGTCCCGGTAAGAAAGACATCTCCCTTTCCCATCTTGAATGCCTTAATGCACCAAGCTTAAACAGATACTCCTGCAAATCTACTGGCCTTTGCTCGGAAGCAGCCCAGGACAAAAATAGGTTTATGGTCTAAGTTACAGCTCAGCTTTACAGAAGACAGTCTGTGCAGGTTATGACTGAGGTAACTCACAGGGCAAAATAAGGAAGCTATAGATGTACTACCAGAATGCCCAAGTATCTGATCTGCAAGTGACCCCTTTTTTGCAAAAGCCTCTCCGTTCTAGGACTACTGGCTTTAACCACGTCCTGCTCCCACTAACTCAAGTACTTAAAACACATCTGCGATTTTAACAATAAAACCCTTCTCTAGTATATAATATGCCACTGTTGGGTTAAGTATTCCTATAGAAGAGTGGTACATACGGAGATTCAATAAGATTATGCTAATAAAACTAGTGCAATTGTTTCAAGTAGACTGGCACCATGGCAACGATAACTGCTTCCCCTCTTTATAATGTACACAGAAAACTATATGTAGTGTAAATGCTAGCAAACAGAGGTACAAATGAGGAATCTCCTCTTTGCCTTAGGCAAGCCACTTAAGTTTAGAGTTAATCATAAAGCTGGTACGCATAGAATTGCAGAGTTGGAAATGACCACGAGGGTCATCTACTCCAACCCCCTGAAATGCAGGAATCTTTTGCCCAACATGGGGCTCAAACCCACAACCCTGAGATTAAGAGTCTCATGCTCTACCAACTGAGTTATCTCAGATGAACCATCTGTTTGCACCCAGGAGATGCCTGGACCAATCCCTGGTACCTCAATTTAAAAAGGAGCAGGGAGCAAGGGATGGTAAAGACCTTCTGCACGAGAAGCTGGAGAGCTGCTGCTAGCCAGAGTAGGTGTTACTAGGTAAAATTGACAAAAAACATGAAATGGTATAAGGCAGCTTCTTGCATTCTGACACACACACTCAGACTCAGCCACATGAAGAGATTAACTACATTGCAGGACTGCTGCAAAGATGACTGAAATGCTGTACACGAAGTGCTTTAAGCAAGTGTTAATTACCATAATCACTTGAAATAAATAAGATATTTGTGAAAGTGGATATAGGCTAGAGCTAGAGGTCTGCATTCTTTTTAGAACATAGAGGACTGTAATTCTTTACTGCCAACAAGATCCAGCCAAAGTTGAGGCTTCTCAAGTGCATGTTGCATGAACCCACTGAATCAATGGGGCTTTAAAATATTTGTCATGGTTGCTAGTTCCCTGTAGAACACTACATAAACAGGCAAAATATTTTAGACCAGGTGCAATTTAGAACCAGAAGCAATTATCCCTTTCATAGCTAGCTTATTTTCTGTATGTCTTGTAATAGAACAGTACAGTACATGATTATATTGCTGTATCATTATTTATATCACATGTTTAGTATTTTTCCAATGTTGTATGTTTAATATTAAATATTAAATATCAGCCTCAGTGCAGCCACCAAGCACTACAATCTTAAGAGGCATTCCTTAATAAAAACACTCTCCATTCCCCAATACACAAACAGGCAAATTACGAGTGTAAGGAAGGAAATGGGCACTTTTTTCTGGGCACCAAGTTCCACAATGGGTGCCATAAGCACAAAAACGCTCCAATCTACATCTTCAGTGTCCCAGAGGTACTCAGTTTCATCTGGGTTATGCTTTAGAGCTCAAAAGCAAGCTTAGGATAAAAATACATAATAAAAAAGAAATTGCCAACACAGCTTTATAATTTGGCACTTGCCTGGTCACCTGCAACAGGTAAGACAATGGCTCCCAGATGACCCAAAAGTCCCACTGCTGCCATAGAGAGCACTGGCATTTGAAGACAGCACCATCCATTAAGCATTGTTAGTGACACAGTTTCATACAGATCAGCTGCAATCATAAAGATCTCCTTCCTCCCCATCTAGCATGGAGGAAATCACGCAGCACTACATAGAGGCCGCTCCTGCAGCTTCATCCTCGCTGCCAGTCGTGAGTTGGGACAAGAATGCCAGACAGATAGGAGAGCAAACTGTCAGAAGCATCACCATGTAGCTAGGGGAAAAAGGAGTGATATGGGCAACTACCTACTGAACAGTTATTGCCAAGACTACAACAGTATCATGTCTATATTTAGTGACTATCTCTGCCTGCAGACAGTTTAAACATGACCTGCCATGCGCTCACATATTTCAAGCGTTCAAAATGGCCTCATGTGTACTCTCACAGTCATCTTTACAACAGCCCTTTCAGGAAGGACACTGCTATTATTCCCATGATCTGATTTAAGAAAAACAACTGTATTTTTATACTACTCAGATGTTCACAGGCTTGAGAAAGAATCTTGTCTGAGGCCACCTAGTGAGTTCATGGCTGAGTCATGATCGGGGACTTCTGATTCACAGCTCAAATGTCCTAGAAACCACACTACACAAAATTTAAACAGGAAGTAGTAGTGTGACAGAAAGGCTGCTTAATGTACCTGAATGACTATTAAGCATTTAGGAATTTTCAATATAGCACAGAGCGTGTGCTAGGTGTACATAAGAGTAAGAGATTATAGTGTTTAAATAGGACATTTAAAGATTTAAGTGCATCTTCAGGCCCATAAAACCAGATTGCTGCCAAGGCAGAGTGGAGAGAGAAAACAGTCCAAACTAGGAATAGTTTTATATAGATGATCCTACTGCAATCAACATGTACTCAAATTTCAAGTGTCAATTCATACTAAAAAAGCATCAGGCTGCTTTATACAGCTAAGTCACAATAGCAGGTCATACTGGTGAGAAGACAATGTGGGTCAGAATCAATAACAGCATGTAGCAGGTAATTCAGATTTGCCAGCTTCCTCCCCCACTTTAAACCTTTCCTCAAGATCTACTTCTACAAAGCTACCCCAGTCTCAACTTTCAAAAAAAAAAACCCCAACCCACAAAACTGTTGTCATTTTACATACACCCCCCCCCCTGGCTTGGAGCAGCATCTCTCGCCATGCTCTGCATGAACACTCAAAACAGCTGACAAATAAGCATCACACAGCAGCCAATGAGCAAGAATAAGGCTGCACACACCATATCTTTAAAGCACATTTGAAACACATTTTTTCACTTGTGAATGGTTGCTGGGAATTTTAACTCTGTGAGGACAGTGCCCATAATTCTTTAAGGGGGGGGAGTTGCTTTAAATGTATAGTGTGTACACAGCCTAAGTGACACCTGTGGGGTCTATCATATGCCACCGATTCTGAAACCACCAGTTTAATTATACACAACTGCCTTATAACATGCTGCCTTTTATCAGGTCAGGCCCATCTAGCACAATACTGTGTATTTTGACTGGAAGTGGTTCTCCAGAATCTCTAGAAGTCCTCGACTACAACTTGATATTTTAACTGGAGATGCCAAGGATTCAACTTGGGACCTTCTACATGCAAAGCATGTGTTCTGCTTCTGAACTATAGTCCCTCCCCATCACCTATACTTCAAGATGGTGGTTTAAAACAGTCAATGCAGCCTCCACATCTAAGCCTCCTTTTCCTAACAAAAGCCAGCTGTACCTCTGGCTTTAGCAACATACCTAACAAAAAATATACCTTACAGAACAAAATTACCTAGACACAGCGTGACTTACAGAAGCACATGACTCCACACCTGCCTCACTATCACAGATGTTTACATTCAACACAAATACTTGTGTTCTATACATTCAAACTTCTATTCCACCCACTTTTCCAAATGTGTTAACATATCTTTAGAGAGAGAAAAACAAAGCAATCCCACAAGATGTCCTCCAAGATTTCTCCCACACAATCAGAAGACCAGTTTGCACTTCTGTGTATTTGCTATTTATTTGGCACCACAAGGGCACATGACATTTTATGGAGTAACATTAGCTGGACAGAAGTCCCTGACCAAAGGAGGTTCCAATATAATAATTATTTCTGAACAGCAGAGTAAAAAAAGTAAGGTGAATAATTGCAATAATGTGTACTTCATCTCTCAATTCTCAATAAATCCAAGCTTATTAGAGCAGCAAACTAGCAAAACAAAACTGTATATCTGAAGAATGATACCACCACACAAAGTGTCCAAGACTTCTCTGCCTTACCTGTTAGGTCATGATGAATTAGGTCAGTAAAATTGGGGTCATCGCCCCACCAGAATATCCACAATTCTCTGCGCCCAGGCCTCTGGTCTCTCCGCCACACACTCAAGACGTCAGCTTTGAGGCAACGACTGTAGCTGCTTAAGATAGGGTCTTCTTCGGTCACTGGGAACAGGATTGGTGCAGATGTTGGACCCTGCCATACGTAACGTTTCCATTTAATCCCTGTTAAATCGGCCTGAAAGAAAATTGTAACAGGAATTAGACTAGAGGGAACCGGAAGGTTTCATTGTAAAATTGCAGCAGTTACCAAAGACAGATATTTCTATTCACTTCCCAGCAGGTCCTTCTCCCATTTCACTAAGCACATATGCATTTTGGACTTAAAAAATGCATTTTCCCTACCACCTCCTTATGACAACTTTCAGTCAATAAGCCAGTGGCAATGACTTCAATCCCTGCTCCATTCAAATCAGTGGGAGTTTTGTTATTTAAACAGAGCATCCTAGGATGTTAGAATATCATAAAATCAAGTGCTTGTTTTGAACTATACCAGTACTTTTGCAAATCCTGCTGAATCTCCAAATATAGAGAACTCCTGCTTCCTGAGAGAGAATCTACATCTGTTACAAATGCAAATAAACACCTCACTAATAACCCTCTCCTTAGCCACTTAGCCCTAGAAGCACTGCAACAAAACAACCTAATCATTTTGAAAGGCAGAGGCTTTACTGAAAATACTGACTATCCCCATGGGGAGGGGGGGGGAACCAACAAATAAAAAAACCATTCCAAACTTTTAATGGATTCCACTACAATTCAAGGAAACTTTCAACAGTTCTTTCTCCGCTCCTTTTCCCAGAAAGAGTTTTTTTTTTTAATGACCAGCGTTTCAACAGCAGCTGAAGGGGGGGGGCTAAGAGAAATGGTAGACACTGACACAGGGTTCACTTTCCAGCTGTTGATAAAGAGGGTGCTCTTTCCACTCAACACAAAATTCATTTGCTTCCCCAGTATATAGATACAATAAAGGTTCTCCTGGCCTATTTAATTTCAACAAGGAAGGTTCCAGCACCTCTGTCAAGTGACAGAATTTGCAACAGTTGGTGATCTTGGAAAGAGAAATGGAGAAGAGGGAAGACATGCTTTAAAGAGACACTGGCACTCATGATCAGCAGGCCAGCTCAGCCAGTAACCTGTGATCCTGCAGAGATAGACTGCTTGGATTCCTTACACCCAACTACGCATCAGCACAATAGCTTTGGCATAGATTTTTTTTTTAACTTTCAGGATTAAATAACACCAGCTGGTCGAGTCTGCTGCCAATTTGCATTGAAATAAATCCAGAGTGAGAAAGTGGTCAGCAAAACCCACGCTGGGATCTTAACTGAATGAAGGTTTAACTGAATTCCACGGCAGCAATTAAATAAGGCAAGGTTACAAAACAGTGGAGGGATCCGTTTACACACACACACACTTTAAAAAATAAACAAATAATGTGTAACCTGCGAATAGCAATACAGTGGAGCTTCCTCCACCCGGACTTTTGTTGCCAGTTTTAGTAGGGTGACACTTTTAGGGAACTGGGGGGAGAGTGCGGGGAGGGTTTCACCAAAGTTAGCTTGGGAAGCAGAAAAAGGAGGGTGGGAGAGAGAAGAGCTAAGCTAAAACTAGGCTGAAATTGAACTGCAATAAAATAGGCATAAGTAATCATGTCACCTACAACAACAGATTAGAGAGAAATCGAAAGTTAGTGGAGAATCAGAGGAAGAAAAACAAAAGAGGGTGAAGAATGATTTGGAGAAAAAGCAAGCTGGAGCAGGGGAGTCGGAGGCATAAAGTCTTTGGAGGAAGGGAGGGAGACAGAGAGGGGAATATATATACGGGAGAGCTAGTTGATTCCTGGCAAGGCCTGCTCCAGAAGACTCCTCCAGCAGATGCAATGCTAAAAATGGCTGCTTTGCTTCCATTCCTCTCTCTTCTTCCCTCCCCCCCACTTTCCTTTCCTCTTCCCTCCCCTCTCCTGGCGATCTCGTCTCCCTCCCCCCTCCAACCTTTCCTTGCATGATTATCTCCGGCGATCTGCACACCGCCCCCCCCCTAAAAAAAAAGTAGCCACTTACCAAACAGAATAGGTTGGAATGGCAATCCTCAAGGCTGGCCCCGTTCGGCACGAAGCAGGAACTCATCCTCACAGCCACAACCCACACGCCATTATCCCACAGCCTCCGACAAGAAAGAAAAGAGACAGACAGAGCGAGCGAGCGAGAGACACACACACGCCGACCGAGAGGGGAGGGAGAAACACAACCGAGGGAAAACGGCCCTTTTCCCTCCCCCCTTTTAAAAAAAGAATCACACACACATTGCGGGGAGAGGAGATATCAAGGGGAGGGAGAGCGCACAAGTAAGGCAAAGGAATAAATAACCCGGGGAGGTTAAAAGGAAGGAAGAGGCAATTTAAAAAAAAAAAAAGTGCAAAAGAAAAATCTTCGTGGAGAGGGATCAGTTTTCACAGCCTCCTGGGCAAAAGGCGGCGGCGGGGGAGAAAGATTGGGGGTACTTGATCCAAAGGGATTGCAAAAATAGAAAGATTTACGATCTTCAATCTGCAAACGCGGGTGGGGTGGGGGCAGAAGTAAGATACACAAATAATCCAGTGGCTGTAGGGTGTGTGGGAAATAATCCAGGAATTTCTCTTGCGCCTTGTCCCCCCCGCCTCGTCACACCGGATTTATAGAGTGAAGAAAAGACCGGGGGGGGGGGCAGAGATAGAGAAGAGACGGTGAGAAGTCCTTTCCTCGTTTCTTCTCAAGAGTTGGAGATGCAAAAAGGTCGTTTTTGCTTCTATTTCCACTCCAGAAATAATAATAAAAAAATCAAGCCATTGGAAGGGGAGGAGGAAGGGAAACTTTCTGGTCTCCAGGAGGTGGTGGTTTGTCCCAAGAAGGTGGTGTTATCCTTGACTGGCCAACCTCCCCTTCCCCAAATACAATTTTCCCCTTCTTTCTGCTGGAGGTGGGGGGAAAGGGGGGGGGAAGAGTTTAAGCGGAGTCTTCCAAGTTCCCTCAAGAGCTCCGAGGATCCTCCTCTAAAATCCTCAGCATCGAAGTGGAGGGAAACCCAGATGCGTATTTTCTTCCAGATGGGATTTCCAGTTGCTAAATTTGATTTTTTTTTGGAAGAGGCCAGGAGTGATGTTTATAATGGAGGGTGGATATGTATATATCTTCTTCCCTATTTTTTTTTCTTCCCCAAAGATATGGGTGAAAAACAAGCACACTTTAGGAGGTGATGAGATGAACTTCAAGATGAACTCATCCACACACACACACCCCAAAAAGCCCTCTCCCAAACACCCTTTTATTTCTTACGCACAGAGAGGTTCCAAGCAGGAACCACTTAGAGCTGAGTGAGCAAAACCCTTTTCCAAACTGCCTGCCTCCAAAAAGAAAAATCTTCATCCAAGCACTCAAGTGCACCGAAGTGTCCTTTTTGCTGCTGATGGGTAAAAAGAGAGGGAAAGGAATGGATGACCTCCTTGTGCCCCCCTCCGAAAAGCCCTTTTTTAAAAAACAAAATTAATTCCTCAGGTCAATCCTTCGTGCCAGGAATATCTGCGGATGGCGGTTGATTGGTTGGTTTTTAAGGGAGTAAAGTAGCAAACCTTTTCCCCACCTTCAAACAGGTATAAGGAACCTCTTTTTCAGCCACTGAAAGGGGAAAGGGCAGAGAAAAACCAGGGCTATTCCTCCAAAAGTAATTATGATTTTTTTAAAAAAAACAATTGAATTATCTGTGAAGGGTTGAGGGTATTAAGAACTGAAAAGTCCCCTTTCCAAAAAAAACGAAGGGAGAGTTATTCCTCAGGTTAATCTTCTAGGCCACAAATATTTGCAGAGAGGATAGGTTTTTTTTCTTTATGGTAAGCAGCAACTGAAAAGACTTTTTCTCCCTTCTTTCCTTTGGGCAAGAAGAAAGAGTGTCCCCTTTTCCTTCTTCAGACACTGGAGAAACGAGATGATGAAGTTGACGGAAGAGCTTTTCCTTTTAAAAAAAGGTAGTAAAAAGTGTCTATGGGATGAGAAGTGAACTGAAATATTTTTTCCCTCCCTCATAAAGAAACGAGTCTCTTCTTCTTCCACGTCTTCGAAGAAACTGGAGAGAGGAGAAGAAACCACTTTCCTCTCAGAATATATATATATATAGAACGAAGTGTCTGGAGGGAGGCGAAACTTTCTTTTTTTAAAAAAAAACCCAAAACCCTTTTAAATATAAATATATAGCGTCGCCACGTTAGGTGGAAAGAAACCAAAACTCTCTTCCTTCCCTTCCTTTTTTTCTTTCCTTCCCCCCTTCCAATTTTTGCCGTGAGGGAATTTCCGCTTCTTTTCTTCTTGGGCCCCCACCTCCCCTCAGGAGACGGTGACAGGTGAAGGCGGCCGAAGAAGGGCTGGAGGCGGCGGCGGCGGGCTCGGCTGCTGCCTCACGGGGTCGGCGCGCCACGAGCAGCCCCCTCGGCGACGCCGGCCTCTCTCCTCCTCGCCCTGGTCTCCCTTCCCTCAGCGGTGTCTCTGTCGGCGGCTGCCCAGCCGCGGCATCCTGAGGGCTGGAGTCCCCGCGCCGCCGCCTTCCTCCTCCTCTTCCTCCTCCGTCTCCGCTCGCCTCCTCAGCTGCTCTCGGAGCCCATGACGCCGCCGCCGCTGCTCCAGAAACCCAGGCGCGACGCCGCTTCTCCTTCCCCTCGGCGCCTTTGGGTTCTATTCTCCCTCCCTCCCTCTTCCCTCGCTTCTCTAATGGCGGCCGCAGCAGACGAGCAGCGTCGGGAGGGTAGGAACCTGCCCCTCTCGCTCTCCTCCTCCTCCTCTGGCTCCCGCCGCCATTGGCCGCCCACTTTTCCTTTTTCGTTTTTCAACCCCAGTCCGCCGCTGCTGATTGGCCGCCAGCGCGTCACGTGGAGGGGCTCCCCGGCTGCGGCCCAGCAGCCACTGGCTCCTAGGCGAGAAACCCCGGGCGGTGGAAGGAGCCGGAGGAAGAGGAGGAAGGGGATTGGTCGGAAGCGGAGTGAGAGAAAAAGAAGAGGCGAGGCGGCGTCCGGCCGCTAGAGGCGCCAGAGAGCACGCGGAGGCGGGGTAGGGAAGACGCGGCGGGGGGAGAAGCGGAGGGGAACCGAAAAGTTTCGGGCGGAGGGTGGCTGTTGAGCAGGCGCCACCTAGTGATGCGGTGGAGACACTGCAAGGGGAGGCTCGAGCAAAGCGGCTGGGAATATTGGCGTTTCGGGGATTTGTATTTTTTTGGCTTTTCAAATCGCACAGCAAAACAAACAGCTACAGATCTCCCACGCGTAATTGTCGCAGCATATGACTGCAAAGAAGCGGTAAGCATTGAAATCAGATAAGCAAATTAAGTCAGGCAACTGTCCGCTCCCGCCCCTCCCAAACCCAGTGTGGGAAGGTGGAGGTCGTGAAATGTCAAGAGAAAGTCTATAGGAAAGTTGGAAATGGAAATCCTAACGTGTCAAAACTGATCGGATGCCGTTTGGCCCCCTCTGTTGCTGTTATTACTACTGCACGTCCCCTGCATGTCCATTATTATTATTACCATTATTGTCATAATGGTATAATCATCATCATTACAGACAGGAATTGAGCGAGCCTGCTCTTATTAGCGGCAGCAATAGTACTACTACTTTTACATTTTCCCTGCTCATCCCATCATTATTGTCGTCGGCATGATAAACATTTTCTTATATTATTGTCATCTACACCAACATCGTATAACTAAATTTGCTTACATGTTAACCGTAAACACTGAGCAATCCAGACTTCACCAAGTATGCATTTTATCTAAATAAGCACAAGTAATCATTTTTTTTATAATTCTATCATTTATATCCCACCTTTCAGGGCATAGCCCACCACAGGTGACTCGTTTTCTGTGGCTGACAATCTTGTTGTTTATTTTATTTTTATCCTGTACTTCCAAGCTGGTCCAGGGGCAACAAAACAGCAGTTGTGAGGGACACAGTTGCACCTAAACAGGAAGAGGGGGGCAACAGGACCCAACATGGTTGATATTGAGGGAGGTTATCTTTTAGGCATTTGGGCCCCTCCCCATTTAGGGCTTTGCGTGCTAGTATTTAACACCTTGAATTGTGACCCCTTCCCAACTGCTCAGGTGAGTGCATCAGGTTTATGTTGATGCCCCCCCCACTGACATCAATTTATGTTGAGAACCTGAGATGTGCAGATGAAGGGTGGTATACAAATTTAATAATAAATCATCATCATCATCAAGAAATGGGAACCAGCTTTCAATAAAAAATAATCATGTTTAATAAGCTCTCATTTGATCATCATTCCTGCTAACCTGCTCTGATGGAAAATCTTCACTGGATTTTATTATTGCTATTATTATTTGGCGGTGGTGGTATTTTAATATTTCAAACAGGACCCCCAACAAATGTGTGGAATATTCCCATTTGAGGTTTCAGCCAGCCACACATGCCCTTTTTGTCAGGTTTCCGTTCCGTTCCATTCTATCCCCTCACCTCCAACAGAAGTGTAACATTCAACGTAGCAAGCATGCAGCTAGTTCCTTCTTGTTTCTCAGTTTTAGCAACAATGCTGGTGACACTCCATCACCCAAGTTTGCTATTAGAAGGAATCATTAGTGGTAATATTTTAAAAGAAACAGTGTCCAGTGGAGCTTAGGAAAAGAAACAGTTGCTCTGACTGTTTGGGTTTCTGTATCATTAACTTGTCTAAAATAAATTTCAGCACTGTGGTTGGGGGAGGGGTGTTAAAAGCTGCACCTACGAACCTTTCCTCATCTACTGAACTATGGAAGGCACAGGAGCCCTAATAAAAAAAGGCTGGCTGTTAGGGGTTTTATTTAGATCATGTCTGCTGGATATTTTGCTCATTGCTGTTCCCTGCCACCCCCGCGAGCCCATTAAATAAAGTTAATTATGGATATTTTTAATAATCATTTCACTCTATTCCATAAGGGGCAGCCCTGTTAAATCTGTTGTAGCAAACACAGCAAAGAATCGTGTGGCACGATCAAAAGCATATTTCGGCTGCGATCCTATCCATGCTTGCCTGGCAGTAAGTTTCATAGCTCTCTAAAGGTCTTACATCTGAGCAGACGGGCATACAATTGCTGTATTGCGTCAGTGACTTCTGTGGATCAGGGCCCATTTAGATCCACTTAAATCCCATTTAGACAGCCAGTGTGGTGCAGTGGTTAGAAAGTTAGACTAGGACTTCTTTTCATAATCTTTACTCAACCCTGTGAGTATGTCATAATGTCAACATAAAGAGGGCATAAGGAGGTTGTAACCAATGCTATTCCTACTTGGAGGAGACCCATTTGCATTAAAGGGTATGGCAAAGTTAGGCCCACTAATTCCAGTGGCTCTTATTTACAGCATAACATGGTGTAAGCAAACTTCCACTTGTCCCCCAAATTCCCCGATCCTTACTGCTGAATCGGAACAGATGTCAATTGGGTTTTCTCTGCTCCAACTCAGCACTAAACAGTGGGTTTTCCTGGGTAAAGCAGAAAATGCTCAGACCAGTCTGAAGCTAGGGACAAGCAGAAGTGTGGACGAGCCCTTAGTTGAATACAACCCAAAATATTTACTTATTTAGATATTTGGGACCCTGATCTTCGAGGGAAGATTTCCAGAACCGCTTACAGCACACAACTTTGAAAAGGTGAGAGCAAGACAGACTGGTTAAATTCCAAGTGGTTTCAAGGTGGCTCCTGGAGAACAGCTTCCTGAGGACAGGGATATGATTAGAACTCAGAGCACAGGCCCATTATGTTGATTTCTATATATTTTTACGTGCAGCCCACCCTGTGTTTCAGATCACATATGATTTGGGAACTGTAGCTCACTGGCTGAGCACCTGTTTTGCATGCAGGTCCAGTCCCTGGCATCTCCAGTTATGGCTTGGAAATGCTCCCTGCCTGAAATTCTGGAGAGCTTCTGCTAATCAATGCAGCCAATACAGAGCTAAATTGACCACCAAAGGTCTGGCTTGGTGCAAGGCAGCTTCCTATGTTCCTGAGGCCACTATCTCACTCTGTCTAACGGTAGGGCCTGCCCTGATATATACTCACAAGTAAAAAAAAAAACAAAAAACCCATGTGTGTCCTAATTAGAAATGAATTTAGAGCATGGTGTTTTTGTTTTATTTTATTTTTAACCTGAGAGATGAATTCCTTAATTGCTTGTCTATGTATGGCAGCTGGGGATGGAGACAGGGTGTTGTGGAAGGGGGAGGGGGTTTGGAACACAAGCTCCTTTCCAAGAAACTTGAAGCAGATGGTTTTCTCCATGGTGACCGAAATGAGGACACACAGCTAGCAGGGGATATTCTGCAACAGCCAGTCCTCCAGAGCGACAGCTTTGAGGACTCTGATGCGCAAGCGCGTGCGGCCGCACACGCACTCACACAAGGCATCCCAAAGTTTCCATTGTGGCACTTTGGTCGTTAAGAGTAATTATCTCCCTGCACTGAGATAAAGACTTGTTTGCAGTGTTATTAAATCCCACGTCCCCAAGGAGAAATTCAACACTTTTGCAAAGAGATCGCCGAAAGCAGCCGACTTCAGCGAGAATGCCGGTGGGATGATTTTCCTATTACCAAAAAAATAAAAAGTCACAGAGCATAGCACTTGGAAAGATGGCGGAGCTGAAACAAACCCGCAGGCCCAAAAATCTGGATGGGCGAATTTTCATCACAAGAGTTCTTTCATGCCAACGATTTTGGTTGCATTCAGGCTGGCAATGACATTGTGATACTACAGGCAGAAAAGCGATGGTATCCTTTGCCCGCTGATGCAACTAAATAAACCAGAGTATAATCCACAAACAGACACGTGATTCTTTTATTCCTCACATGCACCTATGTTGTTGTTGTTGTTTAGTCGTTTAGTCGTGTCCGACTCTTCGTAACCCCATGGACCAGAGCACGCCAGGCACCTCTGTCCTCCACTACTTCCCGCAGTTTGGTCAGACTCATGCTGGTAACCTCGAAAACACTATCCAACCATCTCGTCCTCTGTCGCCCCCTTCTCCTTGTGCCCTCCATCTTTCCCAGCATCAGTGTCTTCTCCAGGGAGTCTTCTCTTCTCATGAGGTGGCCAAAGTACTGGAGCCTCAACTTCACGATCTGTCCTTCCAGTGAGCACTCAGGGCTGATTTCCTTCAGAATGGATGCGTTTGATCTTCTTGCAGTCCATGGGACTCTCAAGAGTCTTCTCCAGCACCATAATTCAAAAGCATCAATTCTTCGGCGATCAGTCTTCTTTATGGTCCAGCTCTCACTTCCATACATCACTACTGGGAAAACCATGGCTTTAACTATACGGACCTTTGTTGGCAAGGTGACGTCTCTACTTCTCAAGATGCTGTCTAGGCCTGTCAT